AGAGGGACAAAGGACCCCCTGATGATGCTCTACCTAATCACATGAGCCAAGGTCAGAGTCTGTGACCTCAGACGTTAATGTTGCTCATTTAGTCCGATCATTATTTGGTGGCACGGGTCTGTTTCTGCGACCTCACTTCTATGCACATCGAGGTGGGTTGCAAAGAGGCTTGCAGACAGAGCGTACCTGTAGGGAGGCTAAAGCCTCGAATGTAACCTGTTGTGGAAACTGGAGAACCAGCGGCTGACTAGTTACTCCTGTTAAATCCTTTGAAGTCTGCTGCCGGAGATGAAGTTGGTGCCTCATAATGGACGTTTTCTGAAAAGTGAAGCCAGGCTGTATATTAAGCTTTTAAAATATTTGCATTGTTTTTAATCAATATTGATGTTTTATAGACCATGTGACATTGTCCGTGATTTTGGACGCTGAAGAGTCTGAATGAACAGAAGTGATGGACGTGTCTACAGACACTTTCCTGCTGCTCTCCGAGTTGTAGTGAAACTGAAAAATGCAACACAAACAGGAACATGTTGGTTTTACTTTGAAACGTCTTTATTTCCATTTTTAACTAGTAGTTTTTGGACTTTTCTACTCAAATCTGAGGACAAAAACAAAAAACGTCTGTTTTTGTTTTTCGGTGACCTACGTTCCCCAGGATTGAGCCACTGCCCTTCTGATTGGTAGATGACCTGCTCTACCTCCTGACCTGCGAGCTACCTCCATTTTACTCTCGTCCACTTCACGGGATTAAGGCTGGACCAGCAGCAACAAGCTGACTGTGTGCTCAGCATGAACGTTCATAAAAAGCACCAAACGCTGGTTTCGATGTGGTTCACTGACTATCTGCACGTACACGGTGCTAAATAGGAGAATGTGAGCGGGAGGAGCCCGAGCACAGCCAGCCAGTGTGTTTTTCCCATTGACACAGTGAGAGTATATATATTCCCTCTTTCTGCCTCACTTGACTCTTCCTCCACTTTGCCTCTCTCTTGCCATCCATCAGCGAGTGTTAGCCAGTCATTCAGTCTGTCACACATCAGCTGCTTAGAGCTGCCGTCAAAACTCTGGGTTAAATGCAGCTCGCAGTGTGTCAGCGGCTGTGTCTGCACACACACACACACACTAATATGAGGACAACAAATTCAAGCGAACCCTTTCCATCCACTGGGTGTCAGGGATGATTAATAGGAAACAGGCTCTGGGTCTTCTCAGTGCTTCACTTTAAACGTCTGACATCCTGTCAGCAGCTGGATCACTTTAAATAACTTTATTAACTCCAGTTTAAAAAGTGATTTTTTTTAAACAACTGAATGCATCACTGATCAAACGAACTCCAGTTTACATTTCCCTGCACGACTCATTCATATTCATAGTGTGCATACTGAGAC